GAAAGAACAATTAGACGTTATTTGCCTTCAGGAAACTCATGTGACTAGGCTCCACAGAAGAGTATTAATCAACAAGAGACTAGGCCAAGAATTTATTTCATCAGACAAAGTAAAAAAAAGAGGAGTAGTGATATATGCAAAGGAGAGCCTAGCACCAAAATTTGTGTTTAAAGATGAACAAGGAAGAATTCTGGCGATCGAAATACAATCACAAGGAGAAAAATTTCTGATAGTAGGAATTTATGCACCAAACGAGGGGAAATCGGAATTTTATAAGAAGCTGCATGAGATAATGCTGGACCATATTGATTATAATAATGTCAAGAGGACTGAAGCTTAAACATTTAATTATTTTGATCCCACTCTCCACACATTAGTCTTAAATGCTCTTAATTTATTCTACTTGGAGTTGATAACTGTTTCTTCCATTGCACTAGTTGATCATGAGTGTGTGCATTTGTGCATCTTTTTGTATTTTGTTCTAGTTCAGATTCAGGTTCTGTTCCATTTTTTATTTTGTCTCAGGCTCAAGTTCAGTTTGAATCCCTGCTCAAAGGAACTGATACACATGGGGAAATTTTCTTTTGTGTACTCTTGCCCCTGTGTATTGAATGTGAAGCTGAATGCCAGTAAGTTCAGGAGTTATAACAGGAAATTGATCATTCCAGCATACATATGAAATGTCCAGTCATAAGTTTAAGGTATTCTTTAGGGAACTGGATAAATTCATGGAATATGGCTCTGTCAACAACTATTAGCTAAATGCAAGCCACCGAATACTAAATTCTGAGGAGCAACAGCAGGAAACATCCCTTTTTGTGACCATACTGGCCTTCGTTGACTGCTATTAAAAACAGGTTAAGTTCTACAGGTTTCAGTGGTGCTTACTCCCAGGTAAGTGGAAATAAGATTGCAGCCTTAGTTTGATTTAGCAATACAAGACCAGTAACCTCCTTGCCTCTGTCACCAGATGGCAATACCAAGATCTTGTTGACTTGATCGTATATCCTGATAACCTCTTACCAAACAAACAGATAACAAAAAGGGATGCTCTTGGCACCATCATTTGCTCTTCCTTTGCCTTTGTTTTCACGTCAAGAATAATTAACAATATCCTTTCCTCAGGTAGGCTCCTTTAAATGTCATGGAAAGAGCACATCAACCAAGACACCAAGCAGGGGAGGAGTGTGATTCTCTTTTTGTCTAAAGAAGTAAGACCATTGATTCAGAATGATTAACCTTTGAATCACACATATTCTGGCTCCAGGAACATAATAAACATATCTCAAAAGAGTCTGGTGGGAGCAGATGCATGTAAATGCAGCAAGCATAATCAGTGCTCACTTCTTTGCCCTGCAGATGGCTCCAAATACAAAGGGAGCCAGACACAGGAACACAGGAAGCTGACTCAGTATGAGGCCCATTGGTCCATCCAACTCAGTATTGTCTGCACTGACTGGCAGTGGCTCTCCAGGATTTCAGGCCGGAAATCATTCCCAGCCCTATGCTGGGGATTGAACCTGTGACCATCTGCATGCTAGGCAGCTGCCCAACCATTGAGCCACAGCTCTTCATAGCTACTAGCCATGATCTCATGGACTCATATGTCAGCGGAATAGTTTAGATGTGCAGAACACATACATCCATATACAGTGATACCTCGGGTTATGAACTTAATTTGTTCTTGAGGTCCGTTCTGAACTCGAAACCGTTCTTAACCTGAGGTGCGCTTTTGCTAATAGGGCCTCCTGCCGCTGTGCGATTTCCGTTCTCATCCTGGGGCAAAGTTCTCAACCCGAGGACTACTTCCAGGTTAGCGGAGTCTGTAACCCAAAGCGTTTGTAACCCAAAGCATTTGTAACCCCAGGTACCACTGTACCTGCATAAGAAAAAGGCTAAGAAAAAGGAAAAGGCTCAGGATTTGCATCTGGTACCCTTGCTAATTAAGAAGGGAAATATGAAATCTGCTCCATACTTTGGGGTAGATTTTTGTGCTCCTTATTCTTCTAGTGAAAAATTAAGTCACTGATTTTTTTGTTTTGTTTTTGTTTGGTTTTTCTGCTAGTCTAGACATGGTAATGTCAAGCATTCATACCCAAAAGCATGGAAAAAATCTATGAAACTTCTGTCTTCTCAGGGAAATAAAGCAGCAATCAGAAAGAACTCTCCATTTGTGCCAGTATCTTGGTGGCAACTCTTTAAACAGATTTATGAATGTGCTGAACAAAGGTCAAACCGAAAGACACACAAATAATTAAGTAGCTGAAGGCTGCATTTGGGTAGTTCCGAGTGTAGTATTTCTGTGATTGATAGCTCTGAACTATACCTGGGGGTTGCAGCAGTATCACTTTATTCCAAAACAAATTCACAGCTATTATTTATTACAGGTGATTCAGCCATTTTTCCTGAGGGCAGAGTCTCTGCTGTAAAGGTACCAGAGTTTCCCTTCCTTCAAGCTGCAATATTTTATTGCTTGAAAAATGACGCCTCCTATTTTGTTAGGGCAATTTGTGCTAAAACAGTTGTTGAGTGGTATGTGAGTGTGTGAAACTGTCATGGACAGTATATGTGGTGTGAGTGAAATTATAGGACACAGTATCCATTCTGCTGTAGGCTGACCCTGCCAGTCACATTGAGCTGTACCAGACTAAACATTTGATGAAGTTCAGTCTATTTCAGGTGCATCAAGGAAGCCACTACCATCCTAAAAGAAAAGATTACATAGGAACTCTGTATAGATCATGTGTCGTCCCCCCTTTGTCTTTTTCTCTAAATGAAATAGCCCCACATGTTGTAATCTTTTATCATTGGGTAGTCGTTCCAGCCCATTGATAAAAACTATGCCAACTCCACAATATCCTTTTTAGAGATGCCCTTTGGAACCAAGATCATGCCCTTAGCATATGCCTGTCATCAAATGAAAAGCTAATGGACATAGAAATAGAAAAGCAGATAGCTGAAGTGATGGAGGTATGGTATCTTGGGGACACCAGGGTCTAGCAAATTTGTCATTTATGGTTATACCCTCCTCCCAATGGTTACCTTACTTAGAATCATAGAGTTGGAAGGGACCCAAGGGTCATCTAGTCCAACCCCCTGCAATGCAGGAATCTCAGCTAAAGCATCCATGACAGATGGCCATCCAACTTCTGCTTAAAAACCTCCAAGGAAGGAGAGTCCACCACTTCCCAAGGGAGACCGTTCCACTGTTGATCAGCTCTTACTGTCAGAAAGTGCTTGTAACTTGAAGCCGTTGGTTCAAGTCCTACCCTCCTGCTCTTCCTTAGTTGCTGCCTACTTCCCCTGGTTGTGGGAAAGAGTGGGAACAACTTTTCAGTTTGGCTATGGTAGTAACTTGAATCACACCACCATTATCGGTAATATATAAAACAGCGAAAAATGTAAATTGGTGGCATGTCCATGGTACAGGTATATAAACAACCAGAAAATAAGGTGAGTTTTTGTTGGTTATTTTATTTTTATTTTTATTGTCCTTGTTGAAAGATTAGTGTAGTAAGTTGTGGCCAATTTAGTGCACCGTATAAGAACAAAAGGGGGAAGAGGGAAATGGAGCATTTTGCAGTGGAATCCTTTCCAGTGCTATTTTTCTAGAAAAAGAAGTGCCAGAGCTTAACATGAACTTCTCCCTTGTTTTTTTGAATGACAATGGTGCCCACCTGAGAGGTGCCAGAGCTGAGCTCCAATGAGCTTCAGCTGGGGGGGGGAGCCAAATCTTTCTTTGAATATTGTATACTCCTATGGCTGTTACTTGCATTGGGAATAAATTTCCTATTGGCATTAACAAGTCTTTTCCCTTCTATGCAAATAGCATGGGGGGAGGTGAACAATACTGGGACCATGCTGAAGGAAAGGGTTACGTTTCCTCCCCCGCCCCCAGGCCATGGTTCTGATCTGGATCCCCCCCTTTCCACTCAACAGTCTGAAATTCAGAACAGAGAGCAGAATCTAAACAATTAGATGATGTCTGGGACATCCCCTTGGCTGTGGCCTTACTCTTAGGAATACTTAACATAATGGATAATCAAGCCCTGCTTCAGCTGCACTTCTGCAATGAGACAATCTGTAATAGCAACAGCTTAGACAAATTGTGACCGGAAGATTAATGCTACTTGATATAATATATGGCAGCACTGAGCAGAACTGAAGGAATACATTTATTTAAATTTGTTTATTATCATCTTGCCAATTAAGACAATGTGCAGTTTGCCAAAATATGTATCAAGCCACCTCTCTCCTTGATTGTGACTAATCTCATCCTGTTCATTTTTATCGTTTGGTCCAGATATACATCACACAATGCCCAAGGGCCATTCATATTTGGAAGCTGATCAGCTGCGACTGATTGTAAAAGAAAATAAAAATAAATGCAATCTGAGGTCATCATAAATACTTATGTTCTGCATTTGTAAGAAATCAATCATTTAGCATGGCAACACCTACACTCTAAGGGACGCGGGTGGCGCTGTGGGTAAAACCTCAGCGCCTAGGGCTTGCCGATTGCATGGTCGGCGGTTCAAATCCCCGCGGCGGGGTGAGCTCCCGTCTTTCAGTCCCAGCTCCTGCCCACCTAGCAGTTCGAAAGCACCCCTAAGTGCAAGTAGATAAATAGGTACCGCTTTATAGCGGGAAGGTAAACGGCATTTCTGTGTGCTGCGCTGGTGCCGGCTCACCAGAGCAGCTTTGTCACGCTGGCCACGTGACCCGGAAGTGTCTCCGGACAGCGCTGGCCCCCGGCCTCTTAAGTGAGATGGGCGAACAACCCTAGAGTCGGACACGACTGGCCCGTACGGGCAGGGGTACCTTTACCTTTACCTTTTACCTACACTCTAGAACTCACTTCCTTATTCACATCAGGCAGGAGGTGCCTAAAAGCATTTCTGTTCAGGCAAGCCTATCCAGACATGCAGAAGTCAACATGTGTTTGAAACTATTTTTAGCTTTTTGTAGATTTTCATTATTATTACTTGTTTTGTGTTTTGTGTGTTTGTTTGTTTTTTGTACATTGTTTAGAGGTTCTGTTTACAATCAAGTATTATATACGTTATGATAAATGAATGAATGAATGAAATTTTATCATCTGCTTTAGTTACAAATTTAGCCCATGCAGTCCTTCTGAAGTTAAGAGTAACCTTTCCCAGTCAAGCCACCATTCACCAATGGTCCCAGGGTAGGTGGCTTATTTTGTAAAACTGATTAAAATACAGCATACCACTTAGTGGTGAATGGCATGGTGGGGCGGCAGCTGCTTCAATGTGAAGAGTATGCATGTATTTCTATGGAGCTACTCAAAGCTATCCGGAACCTCTAGGATTTGCTGTGTGCAAAGGAGGTTCATGTTCTGAAAATAGTTGGGCTTAAAGTGCATAACTAGGTTTAATCTTGCCTTTTATGGGCATCGAAAATCTCCTTCTTTCCAGCAATTGATGCAATTACTGCTACACAAAAAGAAAATGACAAAATGTTATATAGCACTATTGCCACAAATAGACCATGGACAACATCCTACTGATCCCTACCTCCACTTACCTCCCTTATCTGCTGTTCTTCCATAGCTGTCAACTTTTCCCTTTTCTTGCGAGGAATCCTATTTGGAATAAGGGAATTTCCTTTAAAAAAAGGGAAAAGTTGATAGCTATGTGTTCTTCCTGTGCTGAATTTTACCTTAAGGCTCCTTCTGGCAGGGGCCTGTCGTATTATGCTCTTATGCTCTATGCACACTGACAGCGTTGTATAAAATATTGTGATTGCCTCATGTTATTTTACATGGTAGCATTATATTCTCTGCATAATAACACTTCCAGCTTGAGTTATTCTACCTCAATATGACAGGCCAGAAGAAGGACACCAAACAGCCTATGCACACCAAGTAGCCCATGGCTTTTCAGGCCTGGATGAGTAGCACTTAAGGATTGGTGCAGTTCTTCCGTAGTTCTTCCCACCATGGAATGACCAGGGAATGGAACGTTCTTACCTTCCTGCTCTCTCTCTCTCCCCCCATGTAACAAGGAATAATACTCAAGTCAAAGCTTGTCTGTGTACTCTTCAGTATCGGACCCAACCTTGAATGTGCCTTGATTGAACTAATTATACCGCTAGGGGGTAGGAGGTTGCAGTTCATTGCAAATGCACATGGCAAAATAGAGATAATAAAAAAGGCTTTTATATCTCTAATCTCCCAACACAGCAGAATCATTTTATGAGGCTTTAGAATACACTCTTGGTCTTGGTGATGCATGGAGGGGGGAAAGCAAATATTTTAGCCAACTTTCAATAGGCAAAACCAATTATAATGTAGCAAACAGTCTTACAATATGCAAGCTCACTGGAATTCTTATTCCATCCCTCCTCCTTTTTTGCTTCTGTTCTTCAAAGCCTGTAGATCACTCCCACACACTGACGGAAGGGAAAGCTGAAATTGTGAACAAGTCACTTTTCTTCTTTGCCTCTATTTCCTTTTCAACCCTTTCTTTCTTTTCGGTGTAAGTTGTAAGCTCTTTGGAACCAAAGCTGTCCTTTTCTATAAATATATGCCATGTCTAACACAATGGCCCCCATGATCTCGCTTGTTGCCTCTCAGTGCTGCAATAATACAAATAATCATGTCTTTCTACTAGCTGTTCTAAACCTACATGCTTCACACCCTCTTCCTTACGGTGTCCGCTTCCATTTGTCAGGGAGTGAATGCATGGGTTTGATTTATGCGGAGAAAGCATGATATAGACAGCATCACTTATGCTGAAACTTCATCTGTGGCTCCTTGCAGCTTAAACCTACAAGACCCAGTCAAGAAATAGACAGGTGGATTTCGTCTCCTGTGTTGAGCACAAATGTTCCTTCTCTGCAGTTGCAGTTTCTGTAGAATTAGATTTAGATTTTGCCTTCAGGGCTGTTCGACATGGAGCTCAGCTTTGGTGCACATTTCTAAACATGATGTAAATGTATGCTTCCCTGCTAGTAAATCTGATCACTCTGACTTCATAGATTGAGAGTGCTGTTGCATCACTTCAGATTCAAATGCATGCTTTCCAGATGTGCAGTATGCTTCAGATCAGGCTGGTCCTCTCCCATACCTATACCTGAGTCAGTATAAGGAGTCCAATCCACATATATCCTGTTGCACTAATTATGGCAAGGAAACTGAAAAAACAAACATCCATATTTTGCTAGGACAATTCTGCAATGTGTGTTTTATGCTCACAGGAGGAGACCTGGTGGCCACAAATCTTTCCAGGGCTGTGGAAACGAAATATGTAGTGAGTTCAATTCACAAAAGGTGAGCGCTTGATAGGTGCCACATAATAAGAAAATGATCCATGCAGTCAGTAAAAGTTATTTCAGATTCAGAGCACTTCATGGTCATTCACGTTCAGGATATACACAAGAATGCAAATGCTCATCTAGTTCCTCTGAAAAAGAATTCAACTTGACATTTTAAAAATTAAACAAAATATCTATCTATCTATCTATCTATCTATCATCTATCTATCTATCTATCTATCTATCTATCTATCTATCATCTATCTCTGGGGCTGAAACACTGACAATGTAATCGTTAAGAGATTTTAATGGCATTGTCATTTTGGCTATCGACACAGTTTTCTAACCTGTTCAAAAGTCCTTTGTGAAACCTCCAGCTTGCCTGGGTTACATCGCCCTTTCAGTTTCCAAACCCCTTTAAAGAGAAGCAAAATTGGTTTCATTTAATAGGTGATGTTAAAAGACTTCCCCAGTGAACTCGATAGAAAGGAGGAATAGGGAAACCCAACTTTTTGCCCTCTCTGACAGAAATCATTCCAGTTTGACCACCTGATGGGCTCTTGGGGTTAATTAGAAAATCCCCATCAAGAGCTCAGAGGCCAATATCAGCTGTCAAAATCCCACATTCCCCTTCTTTCAAGTGCAAAACAACCTGTGTCTGAAGATGTGCCAGAGTATAAAAGGGCACACCACCACCACTGCGGGCTCTGACTTAGCTCTATTCATAGCCTCACTACTATGAATACAGCAAAATCTCAAATGAAAGTTTTAATCTCCCCAATGCATTCATCCCAAAGAGAAAAGGGTTTCCCTTTTAACAATTTTCCTCCTTAAACCTTTTGTGTTGGTCCGCTTTGGTGCGTGGGGGGAGAGGTTTTTACTCTGACCCAGCAAGGGCTTTTGCTATAGAAAGCACTGCACCTCACCCTTTTATGCTGGAATCAGAGTAAAGGTCTCCTCAGACCAAAAGTAACTAACGCAAAAGGTCTTAAATGCAGACAGAACATGGCAAGAATGTTTTTTTAAAACACACACACCCCAAGAAAGAGGCACCTGATTTCAGTAAACTTACCTATTTGTGCCTTTCCACCTTTCTCCCATCAATCTATAAGCAGCCAATGTGCTGGGTAGGAATTCCTGTGTAAAGAGAGAGAGACCTTGACGGAAAAAATAGTTGGGGGGAAATGGACAGCAATATATCTCTCTACAGAATGCAAGTCTGAAGCCTGCAGCCCCTCTGCAAAAGAGGCAAATCTGTAAATACTAAACCTAATGTAATTATTATCAGAGCTACACAGAGCATGACCAAAGCCATTCCGATATCAAATTTACTAATGGTTAATTTCACCTTTCCACATCACGAGAAGTCAAGTTTATTGCATTTTAGCTTTTCTTTACATACTGCAAGTTATCTTAGCTATATAATGTTTACATTACAGTGGTACCTCTGGTTAAGTACTTAATTCATTCCGGAGGTCCGTTCTTAACCTGAAACTGTTCTTAACCTGAAGCACCACTTTAGCTAATGGGGCCTCCAGCTGCCGCCGGAGCACGATTTCTGTTCTCATCCTGAAGCAAAGTTCTTAACCCAAGGTACTATTTCTGGGTTAGCGGAGTCTGTAAACTGAAGCGTATGTAACCTGAAGCATATGTAACCCGAGGTACCACTGTATATAAGAGAGAAGAAAAAGAAAAGCCATCTTACAAAAATGCCCCTAGCTTGCATTGCATCCTTTTGACACTGAGTGACTTTTATTTTAAACAAATTTTCCCTTAAGTTCAGCCTCTAGATACAGAAAATAGCATAATTAAAAAATTATGGGTTAACCAAAACATCCAACTTCATTTATTAATCCTTATTCAGGATTGAGAACAACCTCTTCTGCCTAATCTATGGAATGGAATATTAACAAATAATGTGAAAGATCTTGAACAGTTTCAGATTCACATAAATAACATTATTATTGGGGGGACAGGGCAGAAATGTGTCTCATTCTACATGCAGCACACTCTCATTTTAACTATTTTTTTATTAAAAAAAACTAGCTATAGGCCGCTGCTTATATATGTCACGTATGTTTAACAAGAACCACTTTGCCCACATTTATGGCAAACAAAATTTATCTGTGCCAACATGTCCTGTTATAAAAGAAGCACCCACTATATATCATAAGACCCCAGTGTTTGCATTATTATGGCAGAGAAGGGTGTGTGTGTGTGTGTGTGTGTGTGTGTGTGTGTGAGAGAGAGAGAGAGAGAGAGAGAGAGAGAGAGAGAGAGAGAGAGAGAAATCCCATAGCCCACATTCATTATTTTAAAAGGCATTTGTAGAGATCTTAATGGTGGATATCCACGCAGGCAGGCAGGCGTAGTGGAAGGGGGCTTTGTATTAAAATGCATCTCCTCTGTGCATCTTTAGAAGTGCTACTTGGTCTTTTTGAGGGTTATTTCACTGTAAAATGCCCACCGATTGACTCACAAAACCAAGGCAGATGCTATTCCAATCTCATTTAGAATAGCTCGGTGCTTTCAAAGAGCTCTCCCGACCCCCTGAAAGTACCATTCGAAGTCACCTTTTGTACCATGTCCCTCTTACTGATATGAAGGAGGCATGATTTTATGAGTGAGTGAGAACGCTGCCCTCCCCTCCGCAGGACTGAGCTCCCTTCAAGTGATTATTGTTTTGTTTCTTTCCCTCAGAGCAGTAACACCTACATTGTATGAGGAGAGACAGAAAGCATTCATACCCTTCAGAAAACCATTCACTTAAAGGCAGCTGGACGGACTAAAGTGTTCAGCTTGCCCTCTTCACTCTTGGATGAGTTTTGTGCAAAGCCCGGGCTTGGAGGCCTTCCCTTCACAGATCCGAGCAATTAATGAGAGAATGATTGTATTAAAATAAAAAAGGGGGAAAGGAAAATGTTGTAGTGTTTGGTCTGCCTCAATCATTTGGGTTTGTAATTAAATTATACTCCTGAAGTCCCCCACCATTATGGGGAAATGGCTGGTCTTTTCCTTTCTTTCTTTTTTAATGCACGATGAAAAAGTAATGCTGTTTACGTAATTAATAGCCATGTGTGGCTTTTCTTTCATATTAAAAGGCTAATAAGGGTTTGAATATAGGGCCTACTGTTAATCCAGCAGCAATTGGAATTAATACTTCCCCAGCCAGATTCTTAGTCAAACAAGATGCAGGGGGAGGGCATTAATTTAGCATCATTCCCCCCTTAATTCTGACAGGCCAGTGAATCAGTTCCTTTCAAAGGAAGTTTTTGTAGCATGAACAGAGTTCAAAAGGTCCTAACGGAATGTTAAGGACCTCTCTGCCCCGAGGTCTGTGTGTTACTGACCAGGATCACATTCCCTAGAAACACTGTGGCTGTTCACTTCTTAAAAGTCCATTAAAAAGACAACAATCCTTTCTCTCCTTCTGCTCATCTCCCTGTCTCCCCACTTTCATTTTCAAGCTAGTTATTCCTGGCAAGACATACTGCTTGTTTTTTACTTTTCACAATGCAGTCGGTATATAAGACAACCTACCATCAGATCACTTGACAATATTTGACCATTTTTGTAAGCTAGTTTGCACTCTGACTTCTCTTTCATCTGTCAGCTTCATGGGATTTATTTTGGTTTCTTCCATATGTTGGATTGTTGGGTCACCACCAGTTCGTAGTTTTATGAACTCTTCATCTTTTAGTATAATTCTACCAATAAGGAAATAGTAGTAGTAGTAGTAGTAGTAGTAGTAGTAGTAGTAGTAATGAGTTTTCCACATGCCATAGAATATATTTCTGCCATTTCTATGTAGCAAAACTGTGTGTCTGAACTATCAGCTCTGCTTTTACTAAAATAATAATGACTATGATGCATGCTGGAGAGAAATGGACTTCCGGATGCAGCAAAACACAATTAAACAACAGATGTACATTCTAACCTCTGCCTCAAATATTACTATGGGAAAGGACCATGGCTCAGTGGTTGATCACATGATTTGCAGGCAGAAGGTCCCAGGTACAATCCCTGGCTTCTTCAAACAGGAATGGGAAATACTCTTGTCTGAAACCCTGGAGAACAACCATCAGTTAGTGTAGACCAGGAGTAGCCAACACGGTGACCTCTAGATATCTTAGACTGCAAATTCCATCTGCTCCAGCCAGCATGGCCAGTGGTCATAGATAATGGGGAGCTGCCCTCTGCAACATTATTTGTTTTTTGGTGGGGGGGGGTACACAATTGGTATAGGCAATACCGAGTTATAAGGTTGGATTTGGTATAAGCTATCTTTGTTTCTAATAAGGGTAAATTATTTGATAGACATATAATACATAATGCTATTTTTCACATATTTTGAAAAATGGCATTGCTATATAGGAAAATAAGGGGGGATTGTGGCCAGTTGGAACTGTGACCAGTTTTCCAGGGCCATATGACATGTGACACTGGAGAAAAATGGAAGATCGCACCAAGCAGGCCTCCATGGAATAGTTGAGGTGGTTCAGTTGACATGAGAGCAAACTGTGTGATACTCCTCCAGGTCACTGTATGCACCGTAACTAATTTTGCCTTCTATTGAAACTTCTGGTTGCAAGTAGTAGATATCATGGCCCAGTTTGATGTGATGGTTCCAAATCGCACCAGCCTGGATGCTTCTGAAGATATGATTACCCAATTTGGAGTGACAGTTCCGAAGAGTGAGGAGTGGGTTTTGGTCTACACTTGAATACTGTTGACTCCAGGTGGTGGACTGAACCATTCCAAAGAGATGACTGTTCTGAACTATGCCAATTTGGATGCTTCTGAAAACATCATGGCCCAATTTGGCATCACATAACCCAATCTGGCATGATGGTTCCAAACTCTGCCTCACCACCAAATTATTAATGACAATTGATTTTTTTTGCCTTTCATAAAGAGATGTTTGTTGTCTTCTAGATTCAGCTGGTCAACCCACTTTTGCTAGTCAAGAAGGACAATGGTCAAGAAGACATATAGCAGGCCACACTCATTCAAGCCCCTTCTTCACAGCCCAAAGCTGCAAAAACAAAAATGCATCCCATAACCCCATAACTTAATGGTGCCATAGATACACCCACTGTCTGAACTTCTGAACAAGTCCAGGTCAAGGTAAATGCAAAAGCCTTTCTTTTCAAAGTAGTTAGCAAACTTATCTTAGTGACTCTCCAAAGTTTCTCTAATGCCACCAATTTGCCCAAGTTGAAGTAGGTCCTGAACAACTTGGAAAAGCTCCACTGGGTGGCACCCTGAGGATGCAATGGTGGCTTGACAAGTCATGCTTTTTCACTGCAATCCAGGGCCAGCTGCCTTAGGTGGCATTTCTGCCCCATACTCTGTCTTCTGCTCTCAGATACCATGGTAGATGCTATTGGGTCACCAGTGTTGAAGGAAGATTAAGCTGCTAGCTTTATTAGCCATCATATATGGACTGGGCGAGACACTATATTTTTCATTGCCTCAAGCAGCAAAGGACTTAAAATGGCTTTGTCACCATCACCGTCACTCAGTAGGCTCAGTAATGAGCTCTTTCATGGCCTCAGTCAAATTCACTTTGAGACTTTCACCATTAATATTGTACTCATCTCTTAGAAAGCTTCGCTGCTTGGAGCTCCTCAGAAAGCCAAGGAGAAGACTGAGCTCTGCAAAGTGGAGAGGCACTTGGGAGTGATGGTGACTACCACTGCTATTCCAGAGAGGAACCAGGACTTCAGCAGGCATTCTGAGGGCAGTGAGGAGAGAGAGAAGAAATACAAATCCTTCTGCAACCAGGTGTTCTCCTACAACTCCCATCATCCATGACTATTGGCCATGCCAGCTGGGGCGGATGGAAATTGTTGTCCAAAACATTTGGAGTACACTAGTTTAAGGAAGGCTGCGATAGGCTATAATGATCTCTCACCAACCAATTCTCATGCAAATATTAGTGTTATAGGGAAACTCAGCTGACCCTAGGCAAACACCGCTGCTGAGAAATCAGTTTCTCCCAGCTTTCACACCCACATCTCCTTAATATACAGTATGTCAGTTCCCTTACTCATGATTAAGTCATGGGTGGTAGATATATAGCCCTGAAATCAAACAATACTCCAGGGCCCTTATGACAAGTTGGGAGGGAAATC